ATAAAATAGCAGATTGTTTTTAGAAGTGTCCTTATCAGGCAATTTCCATAATTAATTTGCCCAGCAATTTGGAGAAAGACACTACCCACAGGTACAGCGCGAACAGCTTTAAACTCCACCGGTTGCCTACTCCAAGACCTGGGGAAATACTTGGTCTCGTCGGCACTAATGGAATCGGCAAGTCTACGGCTTTGCGAATATTGTCCGGTAAACTGAAACCGAACTTGGGAAAGTTCAGGGTAATGGTGATAGAAGTTTTGGTTAATAGATTAATATGTAACCGTGTGAAGGATCCTCCAGAATGGCAAGAAATATTGGTTCATTTCCGTGGTTCAGAACTGCAGAATTATTTTACGAAGATTTTGGAAGACAATCTCAGAGCGATGATAAAGCCGCAGTACGTGGATCAGATTCCTCAAGCGGCTAAAGGCACCGTCAGAGAAATGGTCGACAAGAAAGATGATCTTCATCGGAAGAAAGAAGTCTGTGAACATTTAGGTAATAGCAACCCACGCCGCCGTAGTCGCCGTTCTTTTCTAACATAGGTGTCTTTCTATCTTAGAATTGCACCACCTGCTCGACCGCAATATCGCAGACCTGTCCGGTGGCGAATTGCAGCGGTTCGCTATCGCCATGGTGTGTATCCAGAAGGCAGATATGTAAGAACTGTGTTGTCACAAAGTAATGCGTTCCGTTTCCGGTAAGCACTGGCGCCTGTTTTTAGCTACATGTTCGACGAGCCATCCAGCTATTTAGACGTCAAGCAGCGGTTGAAAGCGGCCGTCGTTATCCGATCGATGGTTCACGCCGACAAGTAAGTAGGTGATGGTGATCGACCGGTCGAACGAGCGACGTACGGCGTTTGCTTTCAAACGGTGTTAATTTTGTTAAATCATACAGTAAACTTTCGTTGCAGCTACTGTATCGTCGTCGAGCACGATTTATCCGTCCTGGACTACCTATCAGACTTTATCTGCGTACTGTACGGCGTGCCAGGTGCCTACGGCGTTGTAACGCTGCCGTTCTCCGTGCGAGAAGGCATCAATATCTTTTTGGACGGCTTTGTACCGACTGAAAATCTGCGATTCCGAGACACGGCGCTGAGCTTCAAGGTAAAATCACGACTATGTAAGTTTTGCTGTTTTATTATCACGAAACCAAATCAAGATTCACCTTAGTCTTAGTTCATACATGATTCGATTAACGACGTTTAACGCGAGGGACATTTTTATTTTTCATCACTGTTTTGCATAAGGACGATACCATGTTGCATTGATAGCAACCCTCAGTTGTTTTATCCATGCGAATAAACTTTTTTGGGTTCTATTTCTTCTTCCTCTTCCATTGTCTTTCCTTTCTTCCTTTTTTACTATAAGAGACCACCCAGTTTGTGTATTCAGTTTAGTTTTAATTTCAAACTTTTAAATTTGCACTTGACGTCTTGCTTTGATTAGTTAGTCATTGAAAAACCACGAATTCCCTTGAGCTAGGAATTTATAATGCGTTGCTTTAAACCGGAATGGCTCACCTGCTAGAGTGTTAGACTCAGAACCGAGAGAGCCAAGGGTTTAAACCTCGGTTATATTCACTTCCATTTTTTCCTTTGAGGTTGGTGGAAGAGTATAACAGTATGAAGAAAACAAGTAATTGCATACTGTTTGCCACATAGCTGCTGTCGACTCTGAATTGAAAAATAATACACCTATGGTTGATGACATGAAAATGGAGTCAGCGCCCAACCATCAGCTTCATGATATGAAGGACGCGAGAAAGCGCCCCGTCATGAAAATGTAAATTAGGCCTGCAGTCTAGCGTTTACAGACTTTTCGTTTTTACCTTTACTGCTAGCCTCACAACAACAGAACATTATGCTTTATTTATATTTCTCGTCTTTTTGCGCTGTAAACTTTTTGTTCAAAGGAATTAACAATTAATTAAAGAATTGTGGCTGGCATGGGATTTAAACCCTACATCTCTCAAATATCAAGTGCAAAGCATACGGTTAACCCTTTATGCCACTGGTACAAAGCAGTTTATGATTTATGCTCCTAAGTTTCCAGGAGAATATGACAAATTTTCATTATTCAATAATGGTTGTTATCTATACAACAAGCAGAGTTATAAAGAAGACGACAAAGAGTAAGTCAAAACTGTTCGATTTCATATTAACTGTAGAATGTATTATAAGCCAGATTATCTAAGTACATCGGTGAGATATGTGTACCGGATCGACGTTTTCGAGGTTAGCGTTTATATGCTCTTGATATGAGATGAAGCAGTCTGCGGATACCTTAATGTCCTTGTACAAAACTGTTCTTTCATAGCCGTTGCGCTTTTTTGCGGTGGCACGCGATAAGCTAACGAATACTCTTATATCGTACATGCATCAAATGGAGTGATGCTTTTTAATGCGGTAGTCTAATCATCGGCGCAAAGATTCTGTTGCTATCGTTTCGGCCGTACTACGACTATGCTATTTTCTACACACACACTTTGCTATACAACACTCCTCAATCATTAAAACGTTTAGATACATACGTACAGAGGTTCAGTGAAACCGTAAGGTAACGGAAGCTGAGATCATCGTTGACAAATGTAAAAGACCTCATGCAATTTGAAGGTACAGTGGATGTGGTGTGTATAGGATCGACTCCCTGACTTGCAACTTTGGAGACGTTTGTCAAACGTAACGGCCGTTGTCGACCAGGTTGCTGAGCACAGGCGAGCCAGCAAATTAGCGGTCACAGGTCAAGAAGCATGGCAGAAGTTGCAAATAACTTCTAAATCGGCTTATCATCATATTAACACTGGACACCATGTCGAATTCATGGGAACAAGACCCATTGCGATGACATCGAACATCTTTTAAACAGTATTCTTAGAAGCCGTTCTAATTCGGACCACAAAAAAATGTTATGCATCGGGACCGTGGGCTAAGAATATCGAGAAAATGGATTAAACTAGAGTAAAGACTGGCCGTTCCGAGATAACGTGCGGGAAAAAAGTGCCGTTTCGTTAGTATCTGTTGAAACTGACTAGTGCAAGACGATAAATATCCAAGAGTAAGCTTTTTGACCGGAACTAATATTGGCATCCCGTCGGACTGCGGACCCTTTATTTATAAATGTAATTTAATTGGCGAATTTCATTACTTGGCTAATGCAGGTTGGAAACTTTAGCGGAAATCTGGTCTCTTAACAAAAATTGCTGTGAATATCTCGTAATAGTTTTTCGTCATTGTTCATGTCTTACACGATGCCAAGTTTCTTTGGAATGTTAAGTAAGACATAAAGTTGTTTTTATATCCTCAGTATATGATATGAATTAATTCAGTCGTTACACAGTGGGATGTTATTCTCTGCTATGGCCTGATTCTTTGATCAGTCGCTTATTATAGTCTTTTTCCTCTGACGGTCGATTACAGAAATGTTTCCATTTACTACTAGCTGATTAAGTTGTTAGTGTTATTATAGGTTTCCGAACAAATGGTCGAAGAGGAGATAAAACGATTGTGCCGCTATAGCTATCCTCATATGACCAAAAGGCTGGGTACGTTTCTGTATGTTCGTGTAATATCGGCATGAAATAATGTTTGGCTCGAAAAGTTGGTTGCAGTATATTTGCTTGATTGGCAGATAAACGTGTAAACGGAGTGTTATATCACATCCTTAATCATTTTTTAATTTTTAATCGTAAGAAATAAATATGAGGTACGAAAATCAATCGAATACTTCACTATAGAATGCAGTATGGCACATTTGTACTTTCTATGTCAAAGAGATACCTTCAGAACGTGAGAGTTGCGACCTTCGGAAATTTTTAGATAAAGTTTTTTTTACTTTCATGGCTGTTTCATCCTGTTTCTTACAGTATTGCTTCATAAATCGATTTTATGTCTTATCGTTTCTCGCTACCGGAACTATATTTACTAGTGATGGAAAGTTGGAGGAAGAGATCGACCGGCGAATTGGTGTAGCCAGTGGC